CGACAAAGTGGAGCCTCGATAAAAGGGCGGCCAGCGAGGCGAAAACTGGGCTAATGAAAGCGTTAATGTAACGTGTCCAGCACTAGAGTATCCTCTTACCAACGATAATGATGGTGCCGATGTTGTGGCCATGGATCTCCTGGGCTCGAGTCCCTGCAACTCGTATTTGTTTTAAGTCACTTGGCCAATTGCCAGGCATTATTCATAGGTTTGTTTATCCCTGAGTACAAGCCTGTTTTACAGAACTGGCAAGCACTTCAAAAATAAGTATGGTAACTAAACATAGCATTTCCAATATCTCAACTTAGCTTCTTTATTTAAGGATTAATTATATTTTTTCTTTAAAGCTTTATGTATTGACAGACTAAAACTAATTTTCAGTTTCTTTTTTCAGTTTCTATTACTGGTTTGATAGCTGAACAATTTTAAATTTCAAGGGCTCCACATAATTATTTAAAAATCTTGAAGCACTAAACATTTTTTTAAACTTATTTTGTCGCATAAAAATCGCATACAAATTTGAAAATCGGAAAAATTCGAGTAGCCCTCATTATCTAACAAAGAGTTCGAACATTAATTAACCTGCTCTTGAAGTGTTAAGTCATTCGTTCTAAATTAAATTAACTAATTTTGTTCCGAATTTATTTTATAAAGTTAACTTAAGACCTAAATATATTTTTTCCAGTGTATTTGTGTATCCGCCTCCGTGTGCCACGTAAGTCATCCTGGAGCTGGGCCAAGATTTCCGCTCGTTGCGTGGCCAGGAATTTGAATTTGAACGCCAGACATTTGGGCGTTGCACGGTTGTAAATTCATTTGTTAAACGATGCGCTCATAAAATTTGCGCCCTTTTTTTTAACGGCCCCAAGAAGAGCTGGTCGCAGACTCAGGGCCAAAAGCAGTTGGAGGAAGTTGGCTACAGAATGGGTTTCGGGCCAAAAGGACAAAAGGAGGCGTGGCCGACTTCCAACGCGGGATGAAATGGCAGCAGTGCCATTCTGGCTCTGAGCCCCCTTCTTTTTTTGGTTTTCCTCTCCCCAAAGGCAGATAAAAAGTTCAACAGCAGCGCGATTTATTTGCCCGTCTTCTGCGCAGACACGGCGCCAGCTGAGCAACATTTTTTCGGCCGGCCTGGAGTTTAGACCCGGCTTAAATTCTACTGTAATTATCTGTCTCACCGTACGCACACACGGAAATTGCGAGAAGAAATTTCAGCTAATTTGCCCACATTTAAATATACAAAAAGGGAACCTCGACCACTCGTCCAGCTGCCCCTTAGAGCGTGTTAATTCGACATGTTTTTCGCCAGCGGACCAGGGACATCGGGACCATTTAGGGCCGAGTATTTGCACTGCCTCGTGAAATTCATGTGGATTTCATGGAATAAAAACTCGCGTAAAAAACGTCAAATTGCAACACCTCGAGGGCACACACAGCCGCAGATACCGATGCAGAGGCTCAGATACGGATACAGGCACAGGCAGAGGTACAGGTACTGGCACTTCTGGCACTCGGGTCCCAAACAGAATCGGAGCCCAGAAACCGAAACAGAATCCAGATCCAGAAACCCAGGCGTACCCAAGTCCATAAGTCAGTGGTGTCCCCCCGCCTCAACCATCGTAATAATTGCGTATCTGGCAGATGCAATTTATCCGTGAATTTGTTTTTAATTTTCAACACATTCGCTAATTTGATTTTTAACTTCGTTTCGAGCACTGCCTCGGTCTCAATCACAGACAGCCACGGCCAAATTGCTGCACCTAATCGTGAGTATGAGGATGGCCTGGACTGAACTGAGGGATGAGGGATGAGGGCCCCTGGATAGGACGTTGGAGCCAACACCCGCTTTCATTTATAATTTTGTGCAACTCACTTTGGCCCAGAGCTCTGAACTAAAAGACCCCAGCTCAAGAGCACTGCAAACAAAATTGGGATATATATTGATGATTTATTACAATATTTTATGTATTTCAATCAATAATTCTTTTTATGAAATTCAGTATTGAAAACTATTGGTTTACTAGTTATTCCCAACACATTTTGTCTGGAAATAAGTTATTGTGCATACAATTATCATTTCTTTAAGATTTTCATCGATTGTATAAAAATGTTTTAATTGTTTGGTAATATAATTTTTAGGTATATATTTGGTACATTATGATGGCATACAAATAAAACTACAAAATATCAGGTGCCATCCTGAATTAAAATTTTTTAAAGACCTGTGTAATTATTATAAATTTAAGAATTACAAATTATTATTGTACTTATACTGTTATCCCTGTAAATGCCATTAAAACTTAAAATCGAGTTTTTTCCTGTGCAATGGCTGTTCCCAAGTATGAAGTGTTTTTTCATCCGCCTTTCCCTGGGCTTTTTGTATCTTTTTTAGCTGCACGGGGCGCTGCTTGTTAGTCGCGTAATTTATGTTCCACCAGATACTCGTTGGCGTTGCTTGGACCAACTTCCCCACGTCCGAGGACTCCCTTCCCGACTTGCAAGTGATTCTCATCCTCCCGATCCTACTGCTCCTTCGCATGGTGTCTCTGCTTATTTTCTTATCCGTTGTTATCCGCGCTACGAGTTGTTTGCGCAGGCGCAACCCAAGGGCCACGGGCAAAAAATGGAACGAAATAAAACTACAAATCGATTTTCAACGCAATGCGTTCAACGTTCGATGGCCTTATCCTTGGCTCCTTGGCAGCAAATCCACGGTAAGCGTGAAGGGATTAGGGTCTATTAGTGGTTAAGGCCAAATTGACCAAGATTGGTTAACAATTGGATTAGAGGCTCTCAATCGAAGGTTTTTAAATATGTTTAAATAAAATAAAGGTAAATCAGCGACCTCTTAATTTACTTATAGTGTTATTTTAAATATAAAGTTATGTTTTAATTGGATTGCATTTTTTAAATGTACCTGGCTTTAAACCAAAATTTAAAATAATGTTTTACCCTTATACATTATATATATTCTATAATTCAAGACACCATTTTACTTATTGATAAATATGTGGACAAATTTATAATAAATTATCAAATAATTATTTTACAAATAATTTTTTTTAATACAAGAACTTAAATTTATTACCTACATTACTAGACATAAAAAAATCTAGTTAAACTAACTGATGTCTAACTTCAGGGACTTTAAAAAACGATAATCAAAATTTTAAAAGTCACGGGATAAAGGCGACCCCATTAAACCTCGCCTCCCCCTGGTGACCTCATCAAATTGCCTGCTCCCCGCTCTCCCGCTCATCCCACCGACCGTCTCCTCAGCGTTTTTGCAAATCGCCCTGGCCCGAACGATATTGCCATTGACTCGGCCGGGCTACCACTGCCAGCCACTATAATCCACACCTTGGCTTTATGGCCAATAATTTTGCAGGCAACAAGAACATGAACCGGAAACATAACAAATCATAAATTAAACCCTCGTTAAGCGAACTTATTGCCATTGCTGGTCGACGGAGGGGTCTCGCCCATGCGCCATAACTGGCCAACTGAGACCACTGACCACTGAGGGCCCCTCGCCCAAGGAGCTTGAATTCTGCACTGCTCTGCTCTCTTCTCCGGTCCGGAGTAATTTGCTTCATCTTTATGCCTTTCAGTGCGTGGCTGTGAGTTTTATTTTATGTTACTACTTGTTTAAATTATATTGCGCTATTAAGCGAATTTAATGAAAACGCTGCAAGGCCCCTAGAAAGAGGAGCAGTTATAGGGTTTTATTTTTATTTTTTGTTTGCTTTCTGGGCTCCGGCCTCGTTAGGTGTAAAATAAGACCCAGCAAATCGAACGTGTTGAGCCCGATGATGATGATGATGATGATGGGTCTGGGTCTGGGCAGGATGGTTGGTGATCCCAGGCGCAGAGGCTGAAACTGGCCAATTGTTTTGGCCAGATCGGGCAGCAAAAACGCGATAAAGATAAAAATCCCTGGGACAATCAGTGGACATGCCGCACAAATTGCGCTTAATCCATTGGCATTTCATTATTAAGCAATTTCGAGCTGCAAACTGCAAACAGCAAAAAACCGAAAATCCGCTCAACGCTCGGGGCAATTTAAATTTTTATGCAATTTGTACAAAAATGCTGTTATTCTTGCACAAAAGTAGCATAATTATTTCCGAGAAACGGTCGCAGGCAGAAAAGACGATGAACCGAAAAAACGCGACTGTCAACCAAAATCATTGCAGACGACACATTATCCTCACGGCAAAACGATGCTAATCCATCACGGACCCTCAAGCTCAAGCCTCGGGCTTGACCGTACACTGAACAAAATAGCTTGAAAATACATTACCAAAAAATATTGAAAGCAATGAAGAAGGTCTATTCTTGATCCTGATAAAAATTCCTAAAACACTGAGTGTTTTGAAAAGTGAAACTCACTTTTGTTGAAAGTGAGTTACAATTATTTAACCTAAATAAAAATCGAATTCCCCTTTTCAGAGGTCGTTTTTTCCTGCAGTGCACTTCCAACAGACGAAATGTCACTTAAGCATTTTAGTGGCAGGGCAGAACAGAGCTTTGCGGACGGATTCCTTTCGCTGAGCTAACCAAGTGCGATCTGCGATCAGCGATCAGCGATCGGTTATGAGATCAGTACCAAACAAAAGAGCTCTCACTGTAAACGAGGCCGGCGAACAAACCCCAGAGCCAAATCACGACGCACAGTCTGGCAAGACGATTGTGGTCGATCGGTGAATTATGCGCGACATCATTTTAAATCGTTGTAGCAACGTCAAAGCTAAACACCGATCAGGTCAGCCGAGGCAAGGAGGCAAAAAAAAAACCAAAAAAATAAAGCAAAACAAAATAAGTCAGTCAGAATCGGAGGCAGTCTGAGATCCCAGTCCTCAGCCAAGATCCCTTGTCCATTGTCTTTGGGTAGCAGCCACCCTAATTGATGCAGCACGGCCATAAATTTTGATCGGCCAACGATCCCCAGCCTGCTCCCCTTGCAGCTGCAGAGGGTCCCAAGGATTGCCATGAATACATCAACGTGAGCCCTTCTTTATTTCGCTTAAATCCACGTCCTCCTTTTGCTCAAAATCTGATTCCAAAACTTCAACTTCTTCCGATTCCGAAGTTGAATGTTCTACTTCAAACCCGGCGAACGAGAGGGAATACTCCACTTCGCGATGCTCGGCGGGACTGTAGTACATCCCAAGGACACCCTCGACCAGTTCCCATTTGGCCACCTCAACGGGGTCGTCCACAAAGATGATGGTCTGCTTCAGATAGGTGCGAGGTTTCTTGGGACCTGTGGAGAACAAACGCCTGACTTTGCCCATGGGTCGGGAGAATCCAATGTCCGTATAGAGAGCCACAGCTCCCAGTGGGCAGTCCTTCAGACCCCTCATCTTGAAGGGCACCCTAAAATTCTCATCACATACATTGGCAGTGCAGAGATCGATGGTTTTAAGCAGAAACTTCTCGGTCACAAGCTGCTCCCTGGCCACATAGTCCTCGATCAGGCAAACGGGCTCCTCGACCATATAGCTCCGACCGGGATAATCCGTTTGTGGAAGGATATTCACTTCGATTGTCTCCCGCCGATGCTCCGCTATTCCGCAGACAAAAAGCTGAGCTACATTGGGAATAATTTGACCGCCCTTAATAAGCCATTTTTCTCTGGCGTAGATTACCTCCTTGAAAAGGGAGTCCACAAAAATCGAGTGACTGCGAGAGAAAAATAATTTTTACTAGAGAATCATACATAACATATGTATATTTCCAATCACATATGCTTTTCGTGCTCAGTAGGAATTTTTAAAAATAATGTGCTAAAATGTAACCTTTAATTGGATTTACCTACCCCATCCACTCAGACACTATAACATCCACTTTCTTGAGCCCACATGGCAGCAGGATTTCATCAATATCACCCTCGACGAACTCAAAAATATCCTCCTTTTCGGTATTGAAGATGGCTTTCTTAACGAAGTCAGCACTTTCCACGTTACCCACGGCGATGACCTTGACTGCACCCGCCTCCACGCTCATCAAACTAAGCAGTCCACTGCGACAACCCACGTCCAAAACTATCTGCACAGAGTAGCTGCGAAAATTATATATTTTGGAGAGTATTTAATAACGTTTTACCTTATCCTTGAAGAGCTTTTCATACCGCCTAAATATCCATTCGTATGCTCTGGAGGATACGATATCATTAAGCATTCCGTCCGCCATGTCTTTAAGAATAGCCTTCTCTAGATCCATTTATGGTAATGAAAATAATATAACAATTTCGGTTTTAGTGAAGTTTTTTAAATGTCACACTTTGAATGATAACTATATAAACAACTTTTCCAAAAATGATCTATCCAATTTTTTAACCATTGTTTAGAATTTGTTTAATTTTGTGCTAATATAGTTGAAATATTGTATTATTATTCATTTTTGGTTGTTTCTTGATGTTAAGCAAACTTAAGATCTAACCAATTTTATTCGTTAAGTATAGCATTTTCCATTAGTCAGACCATAGACAAATTGTAGTTAAAATAATTTGGGTTTCAAGTTTCTGGCTCCTATCAGACATCATAAATTCCGAGTAGATTATCGCCGGGCATTTTTCTCAGTTTCCCAGGCGTTATCGCCGGGCGGGTGACAACAATTAGTTACGAGGCAATTGTGGGATCGGACCTCCTTATCAGCGGGAGCAGGCACAGGACACTGCCAGTGCATAAAATCCGGGCGACCGGGTTAAGCTGTCTAACGAGTCTCTAATTTATAGGTGACTTGGTGCGCAGTGTCCCGCTCCGTTGACAAATGCCAGCAATTTGATACCCGAAGAACATGGACGCGGACTGAAAGTGGGGATGGGGATACAAATTGAAACGTTTGCTGGGCCTACGCTGGCTGGATCGAGGATCGGATTGGATCGGATTGGATGGAGTCGGATGGGATCCATCTGGGTGCTGTCTGGGTTTTGTCTGGGACTTTGTTAATGCCCGCAGCGGGGTGCACACCTGATCTTTCGGTTGAGGGATGCGAACAAGTGTTGACCGAAAATCAAAGATCGCTGGCTCATTTGTGGCGCTTTTGTGCGCGCTAGATAACCAATATTTTATAATCATGTCCAATAATGGTGTGCATATTAATTTCATGGGCGCATAAAGCAACTTTATGGCCTTTTAAGAACTGCCATTAACAATGACCATTCGTGCACAAACACAAAACGACGAGCTGACAAGAGATTTTGGGCAACCTCTCGACGCAGACCGGAGACCTCGAAAACGAGACAATGCAAATGGCTAGAATAGTAAATAGAGTTATAAACGCATAAAAGGCGTTCATTGTGGGCCCACGGCGTTGGCTTTCACAAATTTATACGACGGGCCATCAATTAATTAGAGGCGGAGAGGCGGCGAGGTGGACACATTTCCCCCAAAGCGACCTGGTCTTTGAAATTAATTTGTTAAGAAAGTCGTTAACATTTCGGCTGTCCACTTTCTAAGCCCCAGCGCGGATTAATTGCCCACCACAGAAACCCTGGGGCACTTGCACTCGCGAGGCCCTCGATTAACGACCCATTTTATGGCAGTTATCAGTTCGGCTCAAGTTTTATTTTCCCGGTTGATTGGGGCGCCCCACATCGCACTTCGATCCCGCCGAGTTGAAGCTCTTGAAGCTCTCCACCCGCGTCCGATCGCCCCGGAAGCTGATGCTGAGGTCAAAGTACATGCAGCGCCCGTCCAGCCCACCGGGCATCATGGCCAGCACTCCTCGCACCCGATCGTTGGCCTTCACGAAAAGCGGTTCGTCCAGGTGGAGCAGTGTCTGCTCCCAGTGCGTCCACGGAGATCGCGGCGAGGTGGATAAGACCACGGGTTTTTCCGATTTGCCCACAGGAAAACCCACATCGAAGTACAGGACCAACACATTGATGATCCCAGCTCGCTGCACAGTCAGTTGGAAGTTCGAGCGGAAGACCACGGGCTCATTGCGAGCCAATCCCAGGTGCGTGGAGTGAATGAAGCACTCGTCGGTAAGCAACTGCTGGATGGTCACACAATCCACCAGGGGCTGGCGGGAAATTGGCTTCCGGACACAGCTCATATCGAATCCCTCGACATTCTGCCAAAAATTCAGATTGGCCAGCATGTGCGGATCTTGAGCTCCCACCAACCAGAGGTTTCCAATGCTGGGCAGGATTAGACCGCGGCGGGATAGCCATTTGTCCCGGGCAAATATCACAGAGTTCAGCATGGCCTCCATATAGAGAGCGTTGCTGAAGGTATACCAATATTAATTACATATAAAATAACCAAAAGATATATGTCTTACCCCATCCACTCGGATACTATGATGTCCACCTGCTGAATCCCAACTGGTAGGTCAACCTGCTCCACCAATCCCTTGACCACATGCACCTGCTCATCCATTTCATTATCCTTCACAATTTCCTTGGCAATATCCGCCATATCCGAGCACTCCACGGCTATAACTCTACGGGCTCCTGCTTGGGCAGCAAAAAGAGAAAGTAAACCAGTGCCACAGCCCACATCCAGGACGATCTTGTCCCTAAAGAGGTCACTATTCTGGAAGATGGCATCGTGAAAGGCCTGCGTGCGAACCGAATCCCTCAGCATGGTCATGTGCGTATCCAAACGGGCGTACGACTCGAAATAATCGCCACCCTGGCCTTCTATGCTCTGCGTCCTTTGATTCATTAGAATAAACTCATCCCAGGACATTATCAGCCAAAAATCACCAGTTCAAATAGATTTTCACCAGTTGAAGGTTGTGAATTATTTTTTACTTTGATCCTATGAAAATTTGACAGAGATTGACAGAACAACAGTAGATAAAAAAAACATGGCTATCATGAGATTATTACACTTAGTAAAGTATGCCAAAAATAAACAAAGTTTAAAATGTTTTAGTTTAGTTTATTAAAGAGTATTTTATTATTGCAAAGAAGAATAAATATAAAATATACATTTTTGAATTCAATAGTCTTATAATAATTATACTATTCCCTTTTTTTATCAGTGTATGAATTTTATAAAATTTTTTATGAACACCAGTAGTAAATAAAAACGAGGAAATATCCATATGATCTAAAATACTATCACATGCTTAGGCCAATCTATAAAAATCGGGAATAACCCCTCATATCTTTGCGAACAATACTACGTCATTCTATCGGCTTCATTAGCATCTGAATGGCCGAAACCAGATAAATCAAATTTTGCATTTAATGGACCCATTAAAAACGCCAAAAAAAATCGCCCCACTCAAAAGTCTGTGAAAGAAATGTGCCGCCAACACCTTAACACCAGGCCATAACTCGCTTAATCCGCCCAGCCCCGAATTTATTTTTATGGCCGAATTTAATGACTCCCCTCCCCAATGTTCCTCCATCCGAGCACTTTCACTGTGAACCCCAAACCCAAGCCGAAACCAAAACCCAAACCCGAAAACAAGCAAATTGTGCAACTTGTGGCCAACGGTAAAAACAAATTGTTAAAATTAAAAATGGAAAAATGCCCGTCATAATTTTTGAAGTGTCATAAAAATACCTCCATATTCAGACCCAACTATTAAATTGGCTCATTAATCAATTTAGTCACAGAGCAACAATAAAAAGGAGCACACACAAACACGCGACACTCGAACATAGTAAAACTATAATTTTTAATGTTGCTAAATTTTATGCTAATTTGCCATTTCTGGCGTTCCATAATTAGGCCCGCTCCACAGGCGGGGGGTCGTATTCATTTTCGTTTTCGATCTCCGATTGCGTTTGGGCCTGGCCAACAATCGCTGCCATTTGTTCGGACGGCTTTAAAAACCTATAAAACTTTTGGCACAAATCAATTAAAAAGCGACGTAAGTTTCCATTAGTGCGCTGGCTTAGTGTTCCCAATGAGAATGCCACCCACTGTGGTGATTAAAATGCGACGATGCTTTGCATATTGAATGCGATGATGTCTTCTGACATACTTGGAGCCCATTTGTCGCGTATTACCAAATGTTCGACAACATCAATTTATACGCGGTGTGGGCGGCAGAAAACCAACCTTGATTTTCGATTTTCACCTGCTGACACACAAGGTCCAAGGGCCATAAAAAAGGAAATTGAATTACTTACTTCAACAAATTTTTTGAAAAAACGGAACACTTTCAAAGATTTCGAGTACCATTTTAACATAAATAAAAATATCCTTGTTCTTATTTTTTTGTTAATAAAAATAATTTGAAGACTAATAATAAAAAGGTTAATTGAGCATTAATGTTTGAACATTAATAAAAGGTAATTTAATTTAAATTATAATAAATTTTAGTTTAAGTTTAAAAGTTGTTTAAAATATATATTTTTATTTATAGTTTTCTATATCAGAACAATACATCAAGTCAAATTCAGCTTTCAAACGATAGGTTAAGCGATTAATTTTCTCTCTAACAGTAAGTAAAATTGTAACCACAGTCAAGGACACTCAAGGGGTGGCTGAGAATGACTGGGGAGGGCCGATTGTAATCAACCACTTCATCAAAAACAAATAATAACATGTGCTTACTGAATGCCCAAGAAGGATCCTCATGAAAGGTTCCGAAAAACAGGGGTTGATTGGCCTATCATAATCGCTTTAATAGAGAGTGAACACTAGTCAAACAAAAGGTTAGGGTTTCAATGATGGCACTTCCATAAAAGAATGGAGAACTGAAGCTGGGCTCAACCCTGTTTTGTTGTCCAGTGTAACTTTCATTTGATCAATCAGTCATCCATTAACCAACGAAACCAATCCCCCATCCCGTCCCAATTTCAGAATCCCATCGACTTTCGGGTGTTAACGATGAGGCAATTTGATTTTAACGGAGCTGCCAATACTGAACCCCTCCCCTCTTCACACCCATCACTTCTATATCGCGCTGCCGAAAAAAAATAATTGCTGGTTGTGCTAAAGTTTGATTGATGCACTTGGTTTGGCAAGGGAATAAATAAAATTTCTGACACTCGGGAATTTTAATTAGAATGCCTTTGTTTCGGACCTCGAGCTGCGGACCAGCCCAGACTGGCTGGCTGATGAAGTCGTTTCGATAAAATGCAAAAATTTTGCACCACCCCTCGCCATTTCCTTCGGCTTACCGCCATTACATTTCCCTTATGTGCTTGCCTTTTGCTTGCTTTTTTTTGGTCAAAAACGATAGTGCTGCCGGTTTTTCTAAGAGTTGGGTCGCAGAATATGCAGAATCTCAAAAAAGAATTACAACATTTTTAAACACCTTTATAACTTAAAAAAAAATAGTGTACAAAAAAATATAACATTTTAAATGATTAAGTCTTTGTAAAAAAACTGAAGTTGTGTAACATTTAAGTAGTGCGCCAACTAATTCTACAAATTTTCAAAATTCTTCTCTGTATATTTTACTATGAAAAAGACAGCCCAATTCTAATTTCAATTGGTTTTTAAAGTTTTTTTTATAAGTTTTAATACTTTAATACTTAAATACTTTGTTAAACTTCATTAATTATGATTTTCAAATAGTAGAACTTTAAACAAATTTGTGCTAAATTGAATATAATATAAATAATAAAATATAAAGCCGATCTTTGAAAGACAGTTTTTACAATATAAATATCAGTTTGTTTGCCAATTTCAATAAAGCCATATTAACGCTATAGTAAAAGCCAAGCCGACAGCACCGATATGCGAATTGTTTGCCAATTAGCGCCCACTGGCACACAGTGGACTCACGATTTCTGAGCGGCTGATAAATTAGCGAAATTTTAATTTGATTTCCTTCACAAATTTCCGCCGAACTGGGCATGGACTGGCTGGGTGTCGGAGTGTCTGGCCAAGTGGACACAGAAGCAGCGTCAGCGGCAGCAGCAGCAAATAAACTAAGTGAATTTATGGCCCCGGGGCAGGAGCGAGCACACGTGTGCGACATGCCCACACATTGACACCTACCAATAAGCAACTACCAACTAGCAACTGCCGACCATCCATCCAATAGCCGACTAACCACACTCCAATCCACTCCAATAGGGCTGCAGGTCCCTTGGCGCGTTTTGGATCAGATCAACTCGGTTTGGTTGGGTTTCTGTTTTGTTTATGCTGGGCAGGCACAAACGAGCTGACAATGCCCCATGTCATGGTGACCGTACGTGCGGCCAAACAAATTACAGGGAAATTGCGTCACCTGCAGGAATTTCCACTCAGCATTGTCGTCGGATGGCATCAGAAATCGTTGGACATGTTGTAACATTAATTTGACATTTTACGGCCCAGGACAGGGATCGTCGGGAATGAGCTAGTAGTTATCCATCCATATGCATACCGGATCGAGGACTCCATAACAATCTGGCCTCAAACCGCAGAGCGACACAGGACAACGAGAAAACCCAACGGCAGACAGCTGTCGAGCGGGACAAGGATGCTGAAGCCACCGAGGGATCTTGCAGCATCATCTCCAAGACACTCGAATAAATATTAGGTACATTCTAGATCAGCTAAGTATGTTAACGTTTACATTGTGCTCAAGAATTGGCTGTACATTAGGCACAAAACGATAATATATCAAAGTAACGTTTACATTGTGCTTAAGAATTCACGGTTTGACTTTGTTTGTTCAAGGCATTCAAGTTACATTTGTACAAGTTTGTGTAAGATCTTCAAAAGAACACAATGGAATAAGTTTTTTTGATATACCATCCTCGAACAATTTTAGGGGATAATTGCAAATTTTTAAAATATTTTTTTGATACAAGTATCTACTCCACACCCAAAAGATATATTTGTACAGTGTATCTCCAGCTTCGGATGCAGCTCCTGGCGTTCGCTCTGGCAGCTGCTGCAATATGTTGGAGGAGTGCAAAAAAGCATTGCTGACTTTAAAACAAATTGATGCGGTCGGGAAACCTCATTGCCGGCTTAGTGAATCTGATTTGCGGTCATCGTTAACCCAGATACAGATTCCCGTACTCTGTTTTACAGATGCCCGGCTGCTGCGATTAATTTGCTGCAGCGGCGATAATTTGTTAATCGAAGCATCCTCATCGCAGCTTGTACTCTGGTAAGTCTCCTGTTCCTCCTCCTCCTCCAGTTGGCAGCATTGTCCAATTAAATCGGCCGAAAGTAGGGTGGGAATTTTGGTTGTTGACTCTGCTTGCCAGCTAGTTGGTTTAACGGCCGGCTTTCTTTTACGACGGCATTTAGCTAAACTATCCAGTGAACTCCTCTGGGGAGGCCTATCCCGGGGGTGGCTGGGTTGATGGCCATGGATTGCTCCTGCTGATGGTGCAGCATTTAATGCGGAAACGTGCCCCAAGTCGGGCTTCGATTAGCGACCGGCCTGGATGATGTGTGGAGGTCAGCAGTAGAGGATCACGCATCAGCCATTATGGACAGAGGCACGCCCGCGGCTCCTTAATGGCCCGCCAATTCCCGAAGTCCATTTCGGTTAAGTCCTAAAAAGCCAGTGCCTTAATCTCGATTGCTTCGATTTAAGTGATCTACTAACGTCGCATCTTTTAATAATGCCTCACAATAATAAAGAACAAAAAATTGTGTAAATTCAAAGAAAAAAAATGGTATTTCTTTTCTAATGATTCTACGTGTACATTTTGATATTCTTTAGGTATTGGAAATGTAAGAATTGTTTATTACAAAGTTTATTGACATTTTTGTTTTACTTTAGTAGTCAAATTAATGTCAAGTAATGATATAGTTGTTGTGCTTTTATAATCGGAGCATTTAACCTTTTTGAACATAATATTTTATGTATACATACATATTTTAGGTTTCTATATAACGATTTCGTTAACCTTATCCTATACGGTTACATAACAGTTTGAAAAATTTGAACATAACATCCCAAATAGATTCGATTAATAGTTTTCTAGAGCGTTCATAATTGCCTTAATACATTTAAAAAATATACCAAGTGGTAAACAAAAAAAAAACCTTTTCATTCGTTTCTAAGCCTTTTTTGCCAAAGACCATGGTTTCTTTAAAGTAAATTCAATAGGGACGACGTCGACAGGACAAATTCAGCGGCTGGTCCATAAAATAATGCAGCTCCTCCAAGTGCTGCTTCTCTGAATCCTGAACCTGTTCCCTGCGAGCTTGATTTTCGACATCCTTTAGCATCTTCATTAACTCCTGCACTTCTTCTTCCAGCCTTTCCTGCATCTGCAGCTGGACATCGGAGTCCAGTCCGTCAGAGCTCAGACTATCCAGCTGTGGCACTGAGTATTGCATTTGGGAATCTGGCTTCCCGAACGCATCCTTTGGGATTTGAGCCACTGAATCCTGCTCCTCGAGCTGCTCCTCTGTGTGCATCTCCTTTGCATCCGGTTCTTCTAGGTCAGGCATCGAGGGTTGCACCAGCGGACGATCCTTCTGCTTCTTAGAGTTTTCCACCTCTGGTTCTAGCTCCTCCAGTTGATGATTGGTGTCCAGTTTCTTTGAATTTAGAGCAGTTAACCGAGTCATCTCACAGTTCTGCCCATCAAGCCCCTCTAAATTTTGCTGTTTCACCTGGGTCTTTGAGTTGAACCCCTCTGAACGCTGTTCCTCTAACTGATCGCCAGAGTTCTGCTCCTCCAGTTGATCCATTGAGACCTGCTCTTCGGGATGCTGTTCCCTTGAGGGCTGCTCCTGATCCTCGTCGCCCACCATGTAGTCAATCCTTAGATCCTCGGCATTGACGCAGTCGCCATCGTTCAAGGCCAACTGCTGGTAGAAGCCGAAGTCCTGCTCCGGATTAGCGAATGCCTGGCGGGCGTGGTGCATGGCGGCCCGGAACGAGGGATTGGAGGCGTGGCCCCCGACTCGCACCACGCCCAATCGACGCACATGCCTCTCGAAGTCACAGATCTGGGTGCGCGGCACTTTGGCGTGGTTGCAAGTGCCGTAGAAGTACACGTTGTATGACGTGGAACTGACGCGATCCAGGATGCGGGCTGGCCAGGCACGATATCCTCGCACCTTGGCGAAAACGAAGTCGCCGATCGTGAATAGCGGCAATCTCGGACGGTGGCGGCCCATCTTTTGCTCTCTATTTTACTTATTTTTGAGGGAAAAAGTTTAAACAAGCCTTTATTTTCAAAGTTTGGAGGTCAAGAAGAAGAAGAGAGAGAATATCGTTTTCCTGGAATGTGTTTGGCGTTGCCAGACCACAAGATCACAGTCCGCCAAAATTAGTGAAAGTGTTGAACAACACCGTATTTTAACGCTAACTTGAAATATAACAGCTAATTGCAGTTTACAAACTATACATTTAATTGTTAAGCTCTAAAAAAATCTTTTCAGATTTCAGTAAAAAAATATATTTACTCTTCTAAAAGTATTTCTATATTTTATAAGAATAGGTCAAAACTACTTGTGATCAGTATTCGTATACAAACAGACAAAGCTACCATTCGAATAGCCAGTGAATTTGGGTCATTTGGGTGGGCGGGCAATGTTTCTGTAATGAGCAAACAACATTTGCATTAATGGTCATTTGCGTAGAAATTTGCACAACACGCTACCTGCACTCGGCTTTTTATTCTCCGCCTTTGTGCGTGTGCAGTTCTGTTTTAAATTTTCGCTCACGTTCGTCGTATTATGCGCAAATTGGCTTTTTAAATTGTCGACTTGTTTAAGCTAAACGCAGCTACACTTTATGGCCATGTTTCGTGCTGCATTTTAAGCCATGCGAAATACCACTAAGCCCTTCGCAATTGACGCGCCCCCTTTCGCTTAACTCAATTATAATTATTTTAATTTAGCCCACAAGCATGGTCTATAAAATGGCAAAATTGCATTATTTACCAGGCGTAATTACAACAATATTTATATGCTAATGAGCCCGTCACATCGCGGCATTAATGCCACAACGATGGGAAATTAACAAGATCCGAGTTCTGGGAATTAAGTGTGGAAGTTTTTCCTGGCCAACCACATCATTCATTCGAGAGCATTCGAGGTCTGGTGCTGGCGAACTGTCACCTGCCTCCGCTCAGTGCTTAGAATTCAATTAGAAAATGCAATTTACGATCCGGCCACGAGACCCACAACACTAATACCCTTCAGTCGGTCCACTCCCCACCGAATTTTCCTGCATTTTCCAGCGCATTAGGCCCACAGGCTAAAGGCGGCACGGGGGCATAAGCTACGCATGTAATTTGTAAGTAATTTTTTCAGCTATCATCGGCCCAGACAAACGACAGTCGCAGCGTCGACGGTTACGCACTTTATACACAGAGAAAATTTTGTCCCCTTACTGGACTTATAAAAATTATTACTTTTTAAACACATAAGACATTTTTTTTATTAAGGATTTGTATTGGAAAGCCCCAAAAAAGACATTACCAAAAATTTATTAACTATATCATTTACAAAAAGTTCAAAAGCTAAGTTCACTTTAATTTATAAAACGTATTTTCTTAATATTACTTATTAATTTTTTCCTGTGCATTTTTCCCGAAATGTATTACAAACACAGACGAGCAGGAGGAGGAGGAAGCCAAGCTTAGAGGCACAAGCCAGAGCGTTAAGTTGGAAAAATTAAGTAACGAAAGCAGTGAATAGGATTGGGATTGGGAATGGTCAGGAGAATAGGGAATGGCAATGGCCATGGCCAACGACAGGCAGGCATAAATTATGAATCATTTGGACGCTTCCTTATGACACCAAAATGCCGTAGAAGCCAACTAGCCAAGTTTTTCAGTTCGAAAGAGCTGCAGTTGTGCTATGGGAAGTGCGGAGTGATTAAACAACCTCCGCTAACAAGTATTTATGCCGCTATCGCAAACTCAGTTTGTGCCATTTTATTTCTCCTCATTGACTGGAAATGGCCAGCATCAGAGAACTGGCCAGATTGTTTACCTTATGTTTAGCCAAATGCTAATTGAAATGTCTGCATTGTGGCCACGATTTCCCACTGCACTCGGCCGATTCATGGGTGTGCCCCACTCTAAATGGCAACTGGGGACATGTAATCAAAACTGGGGAAATCGGGCAATACCATCAGGTTCAGCTCATCAACTGGTTTTTGTGGAGGAAAGGCAATGGGGCTAATGAATGGCTTCGTCTGTTAATTGTGCTGCACAAGAACGAGTTAAACGGGATCACGGGAGGGCAATCAAAAGCATTTAAACGATAAGCACATAAAAGTTAACTAGGAAATAAAATCACACCTATATTTTGATAAGTGCGCAGCCAAGAAAATGCATAAAAGGTAACTTTAAAATTTTGCGATTAAATTGTACATATTAAAACCTTTAAAATAGCTTTCTTTTTGGTTTTTTTATATATAATTTTTTCCCTTATTTTTGAAATAATTTAAATTTATTAAATATAATGTACGCCCTTTAACATAAGGTAAGACAACACGCGCACTATTCTTATTAATTAAATAATAAAAAGGGGTTATTTTATTTCAAATTGTGGTTCTGCTCATTAATTGCTTTAATTCTGTAACTTTTTATTGAAAGGCTTAAAAATTCAGTATGCATATCTTACATTTAATTTAGTTATGAACCCCTTTACTGAAATTATTTTATTTTTTTATTGACCGAAACTTGTTTTCCTGATTGGAAAAAATTCACCTTCCAATTGGATTGCCAGGCACCGCTGAACAAAAGACTTAAGACACGAACTCGACCACCCGAAGCTCATTTCCTGCAACACTCGCACATCGATTGTTTGCATAATTCGCCAAGAGTCCGAGTCAATTAAGTGGCTCTCTAATTAAGTGATTAAAACGCACGCACAAACACCATAAAACATAACCACACACAGAACTGAGGAAAATTGTGAAAATATGCAAGTTCATAAAACAAAGCCGCACGCCTCAGCAGCTGGCAGTTGAGTCCACACCCGCAATTTGATTAACCAAAGTGGCTTTGCAGTTTTCCAGGAACAAACACGCTTTCGCATTTTAATGCGCCACAAATGAGGCGGCGAGGCGAACCAGGCCATATGGATAAATGTAAATGTAAATGTGAATGTGGCACCGGCAGTTTGGGGTGTGAGTGGATGGATATGGATAAACGCACACACACCTGCTTGTTTCTAGCTAATAAATGCTTTTTTAATGAATAAATCACTCAGCGATAAACATCTGCTTAATAACGTTCATTTAAAGAAGCGAAAACAAAACACACAACCGACAACGGCGCAAAGAAAGCCAAGCTGAGCTGAAAACAATACAAAAACCATCACCAATGAGTTGGCGTTGATTCCAGACATTTAACTCTTTGAGCCCGATAGAGAAACTTTGAATGATTGCGCCCAGAAACGCAACATTTACCTTCGAGAAAGAGAAATTTCAGAAATAGGATCCCCTTCAATGCATCTCTAACTTATTACCAACATGTTAACACATCCAAATAATGCACTTGCTGAAAATCAAATAAATTATATCAGTTGCTCAAAAGGAAGGGGGTTTGTTCAGATTATTAAAGATCCATTGGAAAAAACATTTAATTTAAAACCAAATCAAAAACAATTTATAATTTGCAGTATTGTTTCCATTAAAAGTATAGTTCGGTAGAATAATTATTAATATTATAATTTTTTAAAACTTCTGTGGATTGGCATGACAATTATTATAAAATTAATTATAAAATTTGTATTACAAATGAAACCCAATATAGGAAAATTTAATTTAGTTCAAGTTGTTTTCAAATATGAATTCCTGTATCTTACTCTTTTTTTTATTTAATTATTTTTAAATAGAGTATTTTAAATTGGTCTTACTAATACATTTCCCTGTGCTGTACACACCTATGGCCTTGTCTGCTGGCTGTCTGCAAGTGCCACAGAATTTATTTCGTACGTCTTCTTCATGTCCGTGTCCAACTTGATGGCGAGCACAGCTGACACATGCGAATAGCTCCGCTCCGATATGAAAATTAATAATTCCGTGGTAGTTTTGGTATGCCGAGCACACTCAGACGGACTTGCTACCTGGGAAACGTGTTCTCAGAGTTGTCCAGTGGGGCAATCATCAATGTCAATTAAATGTTAAAATGTTGGAGGCCATTTGTGGGAGTTTAAGCAGGATGCGGATGACCCAGGAAAATTCCTCGACTCATCGCAGATGAAGCCGTCCCCGCCCCAATTCATTACTTGGCCCGCCCACTCGCCGGGTGACTCCCCAACCCCCTCTTATCTTTAATCCCACTCCACCCCGCGGGACATAAATCTACGCCTCCAAATCTACATATTAACGCCAGAGAAGGGGCCACTCAATGCCAGCGGACAGCGCCAACGATCACTTACTTTATGATCACTTGAAAACCAATCAAGCACAATAAATAATCGCTCTGCGGCAGGGACAAGCTGCGATATTGAAAATCGCGCACCCAGATGGGCAGCCAAACTGCAGGACTGCGACTCGTACACATTAAATTATATTCACACTTTGGCCCCCAGAAAATGAAATGGTTTTAAATACGAAGGAAAGCCAAACAAGACGGAGATCGCATTGGAGATCAGCAAACAGCACCACAGCAGAATGCACTAAAAAAAAATAATAGAAGTTGCCCTTAGTATAAATATTATAACAATTTCTCAAAATAATATAACAATTTCATTTAAAGTGTCTGGAAGAGTGAAGTAAATAAAAAGTAATTAAAACCTTTTGAAACTTATCAAACTTTCATAATACAAATTAAAATATCTCAGCAAAAGACCAAATAGGTATTTATTTTTAATCTTTAACAAACATTTTTTAACAAATTAAAAAATATGGAAAAATGTTAAGTTCAGTCTTATGAAATTTTTGTATGAAACTGTTATATGATTAAGCGTAAAAATACCATTTGAATACTTAAAGATTTTGATAATAATAATTATTTTAATGCTTCTGCGATATTTAAATATTTTGTTAAATATAGATAATATATATTCACAGTGGAGAAGGCAGGATGCGTTATGGGCAGACAGTTGGACACTTGGACATGGAAAGAGGTGGGACTGGGTATGGAGAAGAGTCTTGGGCATAAGACCTGGGACTGAAACGATCTCTCCCTGGGCCAGGCTCCGTTTCTGTTTCTGTTTCTGCTTCTTTTTCTGTTCCTGCCCCATGACTCCGACTGTGGCTCGCTTATCATCATAACAATAATGTTAAAGTGGCAAAATGGCAAACTATGCGCAAAATGCATAAAATTTATAGCCAACTGGATCTGGCAATGGCAAAACAGATTTGTATTTCTTATTGTATCTGTATCTGTATTATTGGCCCATGTTTTTTGTGCATTTCACGCTTCCGCTCTTGTATGGCCCAAAACGAACACGAACACAATGGGACACATGCGGTGGCAGTTTCTGTTGAGTTGGCCATTTGATCAGCGGATCGGCTTCTGTGGGGATACAAATTTGAGGGTCTTAAGAGGTGAAAGGTCCTGAAAAGTCTTGCCGATTTAGAATTGTTGTGGAAGCAATAGATAGAAAAATATTTTAATTCTTATAGCAACCATTTAATAATATTACAATTATTTAGTACAAAAACGAAACAAAAAGTTTTTTTAAAAACCTATATTTGTTTTATAGCATTTAAGTTGTGCAAAGACTTTAGGATATCAAAAATTTATTTAAGCCATGCTAAATTTATTAATAAATTTTTAGATTTCTAACCTTTCTAAATTTGTATTATTAATACATTTAATTAAACATTATTAAAACAATTAAATAGTGTTTAAAGCAATAATTATAATTGACAAGCTGGTCAATTTTGAAGTGATTTAAAATGTATATATATATAATCTACATCGTGCAGTTTAATTGCTTAGATATCTCACTAAAATACTTTTTCCAGTTTTAATAAAAAGTTAAGCTTGTGAGTTAATTTAAATTTGTGCTCTTATATTTACTCTATGTTTTCCAATTTTGATAGTAACTTATATTTGTTATTTAATTTATATTTTTGTTTATTTACTCCGTTTACGATAGGTTTCCATTTTAACCAGATTATTTTCTGCTGATTAATTTAAACTTGCAATTTTTGCTTACCCAACCGCTTTCACAATTATTTTGTTTAATGGCTTTCCGCTGATTAATGCCAGTTCAAAAACTCTCGCATAGATCTAAATTTGGCCGCGGGATATGGTGTATAATTGGTCATCTAAGAGCCACTCCCTTCGCATGCTTCGTGAAATGTAAACAATTAACTGGCAAATGCAAATATGAATGAAATTTTCCCCCACAAGCCAATTACTCAAGACCCGAATCGTGTGGAAAACGAGGAAGTAAGCGCTGCCAATGAGCGTAAAAAGGCAAACACCTTGAAGCGCATAAATTAAACTGCATCGACAGCTCGGAAAATCTCGGGGACTGGAAGAGTGGGAAATCATTGGGATCCAATCCAGTTTTTGCTGCAGGCTGCTGCCTGGCAAATGGAAGATGGCCAAAAGAAGTGGCTAGAAGACAGTGGATGGCCAGAATTTGCGGATGAGTGGGCGCTGGCAATTGAGCCAATTGAAAGCCCACAACGCGTATACGCCCCGTTGCACTTGACTCGCCACAACGATGGCTTAATAAATATTAAAGAGTTTTGTTTTTAACCACACCACCCCCGTATTAAATCGAATAAGCCGCTAGACTAACTAATGAAGCGCACACGCATAACTTTGGACCAGCCATTCGACATTTGTCGGGCTTGTTGTGGCATCTCGCATTAATAAAACATCCAAAATAATCAAGCCAACAACGGACAAAAGAGCCAACTAATTTTTGGAAGCGTCCAAACTCGTTTTTAACACCTCAGGGGTGGAGCCTCGATTGGTGCGATGGAGACGGTGCATCTGGTGGGAGGGAGAGGGACTGAGTTGGGGCCATCACAGAAATCAAGTCACAATGAAATGTAAATATTCTCGTGTTTCGGAGAGCGTCGAACATTTCGATTTGGCGATTAATTAAACACTAATTAAGAATTTGTTCAACTCGGGCGATTAATTAAAAGGCTGTTAAATGTGAAAAGGGCAATAACAAAGCAACCGGCGATTTAAACAATTTAACTAATGTCCATCAAAAGACTCCAGGCACAAACCTGCCATCAAAATACTGGAAAAATTTGATTTTGCGCCGATTTAATTTGCATACTTGTTGATTAAATAGTGAAGCCTTAATTTTTATCTTTTAAAATAATAATGCATTTTCATACAAATATATATATATTTCAAATTTAAATTATACTTTAATATTGATAACTGTACTAAGATAGGATTATCACAAGAAGCGTTTGTTTTCAATACAATTCTTATTTCATGGGTAATTAAAAAAATATATATTTTTTGTTTTCATATAATATAATAATATTTGTTTTCGGTCCGAACTGTGTTCAACTGAGCAGTATATTACGGATGTTCCGGACTGTACAATGAGGGGTATGACAAATGCTTTCGCTGGAGCTGTTGAAAAATGCCCACAAGTTCGGGGGCTGTTTGAAAAATCGTTTGGCCAAAGATCACGCAACGACCAAATTGAAACGTCACCAGTCACAGGCGGCCGCCAGATTGTTATTGTTGGCCGACTGGTGCTGTTTCTCCATGAATATTAACACATTAAAATGGTAAACGTGGTTGAGTGAAAAATTAACCTAAAGCAGCCGAAATGTGGCTGCGGCTGCAGCGTAAATTATGCAAAGTCATCAAGTCAACGTTATCCAAACATCAATGGCCTGCGAGGCCTGGGAAAAAATTAGCATAAGCCAAGCGGTTCGACGGAATGAAGAGGAGCTCCTGCCCGAGGGCCAACTGGCGGAAGGGACGATTCGCACACTCCGCGAAAAATGGGCTTAAAAATTAGTATATATATTATATCAAAACTTAAAGAATCTTTAAAATTAACGACGTCCTTTAAGAGAAAAATATTCTATTGTACGATATGAAAAATTATAATGATAATTACTTACAGAAGAATTAAAGTAATATAAGTATATAAATGTTATTAAAAAGAAGGTCGCTTGTTTCTCAACAAAATGGCAAACAAATAATGATTTTATAATTGATTTTAAATTAAAAAGTACTTCTATATTTAGAATTAAAAAAATTGGTATGGTTACAAATATAATTAAAACCAGAATTTCAACTTTTGTGTATTTCAAATATTAAAATAATTCCTATATTTAATATTAAACAAAATGTAATAACAATATAATTAAGCTCTACCTTTAGTCTAATAAAATTCAAAATTTTTTGTCGTTTGAAAAACGAATCTTTTTTAAAGATTTTGTGTAAGTGCAGGAAGCCAGAGTTAAGGAACAGGGAATGGCCCAGGCATGGCAGGAATGCCACATTGATGCAGTCACTTTGATAGCGCGACATTAGCAGCAATTTATATGCAAATGCAGCAGCGCAGGGAAAAGGAGAATGGGATGCAACGGAGACTTCCACAAACTGATTGATGGTCCCATTTCAAAAGATGCCAAAGTGCGTAAGCCAAAATGCAGGACTTGGAGGAGATTGGGAGCAGGAGTGGGCCATGTAGGCAGCATCATTAATGCGAATCATTAGCAGTGCTCGTTGATAAGATCGGGTGCAAATTATGCAGCGGTCGCAGCTGGAACAAAGCCCTCAAAATGCAATGGGCCCCTCCTTTCTGGCCATGATTCATGGCTGCTCAGAGGTCTCCAAAGGGGCGGTGAGTGCGTAATTTTTAATTGCCAATTAAAATTGTTCCAATAAAGATGTGAAAGCTGCTCCAAAAGCTAGAACTGGAAAACCTTCGGCCGTAATTAGGAGGAGGATCTGAATAAACGTCATTAAATGTTTGGAGGTAATTAGTCGTGCCTTAAAAATCAAAGGAAATTAATTAAAATTTGAAGGGCTTTAAGTGGTTTTCGCTGTTACATAAATTTAAACACTTATTTAGTAAAAAGCTTCAGAGCTAAACCATAATTAACAAAACATGTTTTTATAAGCTTTATAACTTATTAATAACTGCTCACTTTAATAACCAGAAAGTAAATGTATCACTGCGTGAATCTCTTATTTCATTTATCAGATTTTTCTTGTTTTATTTGAATTACGCGCGCATACTGTTTGGTATTTTTGTGATACCAAATATTTAAACACCGGCAGTGTGACCAGCTGCCGGCTGATAAAAAATCCTCTCACTTTCCGACCACTTACGCGGGGCGTTTCGGTATTCTGGGTAGAAACGGGAAGCCCAAAAAATTCACAGCTGGAGAAAAAAGAAAAAGCCATAGAAGTGTGGAAATGAAACCCAAGTAGGACAAAAGAAGAAACCATCGGGATCAGGATGAGTGCGGAGGGACAGGCCAATCTTCTGCGGGTGCTCATCAACTGTGCTGAGAAGGCGGCCAATATCGCCAGGACGTGTCGCTCCAACGAGGAACTCCTGAGGTTGCTGGTGCAGGAAAAGCAGGGATCGGAGGCCAACGAGCGGTTTGAACATGACTTCAAGACCCTGGCCGACGTCCTCATCCAGGAGACAATTAAGCACGAAGTTGGATCGCTCTTTCCGGCCATGCAGGATGCGATCCTGGGCGAGGAGTCTCCGAACTTCACCAACAAACTGGGCGAAAGCGTCACAATTGCAGTGGGATCGAGCGAGGAGGACACCTCCTCCTGTCTGCTGGCCGTGCTCAGTGGCCACGAAGGAGCTGCCAATGCCTTGGCCAAAGAAGTCCATCAGGAGGTCAATTTCACCAGCGAAAAACTGGGCGAGATCCCTCAACTACCGGACGATCTGGACTACGCCAATCTGGGCATCTGGATCGATCCCATCGGTGCGTAATTGCCAAGACTACAGGACATATGTGTCAATTAAATCGCACATCCTCAGTAATTAGAACTAGGATTTATCATTTGAGGAGGTTTAAATACTTTGTAACACATTTTTTTGTAACATTTCTTTTAAATTTAACTTCAATTTCAATTTAAGCTTCTCAGTAACCAAATGTTCTTAAAAGACCAATTGCGTTTTCTACTTATTTTCTATGCCATCAGATTCTGTAACCATTACCATTTTTAACGACAAATAATTTGTTTATTCCTACCTTTTTGATTTCCTGTTTAGACGCCACTGCCGAGTACATTTCGGGCGACACCATGTTCACGGATTTTCCGGGCATCACATCTACCGGTTTGGACTGTGTCACCGTGCTGATTGGCGTCTACGAGCGAGACACTGGAGTGCCGGTGATCGGCGTGGTGGCCCAGCCATTCGGAGAGAAGTTGGAGGAGAACGTGTACAGCTCCTCGATGTTCTGGGGTGTTTGTCTGCCCTCGTTGCAGGCCCACAATTGCCATTTCGAGGCACGAGACGAAAACCGTAGGTTGGGAATCTTCTCCAGCTCGGAGCAATCGGATATCCTACAGCGCTTCCTTGATCTGGGCTATGAGTTCGCCTTCTCTGCGGGTGCGGGCCACAAGGCTTTAAAGGTTATTACCTACGAGGTGGATGTGTATCTGCTTAGCAAAGGATCGACCTTTAAGTGGGACACGTGTGCTCCTCAGGCCATCTTAAGAGCACTCGGCGGCGACGTCCTGGATTATACAGCCAGTGTTGCGGAGCAAAAAGCCGTACCTTTGAAGTATCTGATGGAGGATAATGCATTTGAACCTGAATGGAAAAGAAACGCAGGTGGTTTAATCTCAGTTCGCAATGTTAATGTTGTGGAGGAACTGCTCGCCAAACTGGCCGAGCAATGAATGTTGTTGTTATTGTTGTAATCTCATTATTGCTGTTGTAATTGACCCGATGTATGACTTTAAGAGTGAGTCGATTTGTTGAGAAAAACAAAAATAGGCATAAACACTAGTTCAATCAGTTTTGTACGAAACCATTATTCAAAAAACATTGTGCGCAAAATATTTATATCATTAAATGAAAGATTGTCGATTTTAAAAAATCAAATCAATATTTAACGATTCTAATTTAAATCACTTAACAATGTTAGAAAATATTTGCATAGTAATGTATTAAAAAACTAAACTAATTGATAAACATTTTCCAATTGTTTAGTCTACACAAATCGACTCACTCTACTGTGCTTATATTCAAAAGATATTTAAAAGATAAATGTTGTGGATTGTTAGAAAATGAGAAAGGATTATTAATGGTTTAAATGATCTCCTTTGGGACCGGCTTGGATTTGCCTTAGAGGAAACTTGTACAAAAAATCGAATGATTATCAAAATCGTTTTCGGAAATACACTTTGGTGTACGCTTAAAACTATAAACATAAGAGGGAATGCAATCCATGTTGTCAGCAACTAGAATTCAAATAATGCGTTGAACTAGGCAGTTGGTTTGTTCAGTATGTCCTGCAGATTTGGAATCGTTATAAGACGGGAATCGGGCTCAGGACCATCCTTAACGTCGCACTGAAACTTGCTCTTGTGCATAAGGAAAGACTCCAAAGCGGCGAAGTTCTTGGATTTATCAAAGCCTGAAATTCACATGAGATGAACAAGACCGTGGAAGACCAGGTTTTAGGAGGTTAAATACCATCTATATAGCACTTCGTGGCATAGATGCCGTTCAGCAGATCCTGGGAAATCGGCTTAAGATTTTCCACATCCACATATTCCCAGTTTCCAAAGTCGCAAAACAAGATCTTCGCCATATTGTCCTTGATATCCTGACAAACTCCGCGATACCAGCTTTTGTCCTCGCTAAACAGCGCCAAGCACAGTTCACCAACGCTACAAAATTAACAATTAAAATATGTTTTAATTTGTTAACAGAAGCCAGTTCAACATTAATTTTAGGGCGATTCTTACTTTGGTACATAGCCTGGCACTGCATTGTGGTCGCACGCTCCTTGATTGGCTACTAAATTAAGAAAGGTCTGGTATTCCTCGGCCACCTTCACGTTCTGTAAGAAGCACGCGGTGATGAAGCCAGTTTCTGGCATTCCGCCAGCGTTTAACAGGATTATGTTGACTTTATATCCCAAGGGGACCAGATGTTTAGGCAAAACGTTGAAAAAATAGCGCTCGAATGGCTTTTTTTGCGTGCAATCGGTTAGTTTCTTGGTGTCAACCGAACGCACAGGAGTCGGAGAATTCGGAGGGGAAGGCGGCAGGGGAGGCAGATCCTTAGGTGGCTCCAGTAAAAATGGATCCAAAGTTGCCGGAGTGGGAGCAGCTTTTGGCGGAGCGTCCTTAGCTTTTTCCGGCGCCGGTGTAAACATAAGTGGCAACATGCGGCTTACTAAGGAGCGCTGATCACCGGAACTGGACAGCAGATCAACAATTGAAGTACTCGAGTCTTCCCTTTCCAGTTTCAGAATTTCCTCCTGGGCGCTGAGAGTGTGTAGTAGGTTGATGGCCGCATTGTTGGGTGGCACAGCAGCATCCGGAATATTGCAGACAGTTTTTAACTGAACTCGCAACAGGCTGACGGGCAGATTATCCAGGAAGCGACAGGATTTACGCAACGCTGACAAATGCAACTGGTGGTGGGCACCAGTGTCAACGTTCTTTACATTATACATCCCGTCTGCAACACTCAATACCTGCGAGAATGAAATGGTTTATTATTTAACTTTTCAATAGATCAGTTATCCACTGACCTCGCCTCGGAAGTGTCCTGTCATCTTGGAAGCAACCAGTACTATGCAACCTATGGAAACGTCACTAGAATCTCCAAAAGCGGCGCACTTCGACTCCAGACGCTTGAAGAGGCCTGCATACTGCTTGCTATTCGGGGAGCTTATGTAAACCTCCTTGTAGCTGACGACATGGGTGATGATCACTAAGGCATCATTCTCGATGGGATCTCTCCAAATCTTATGACCCAAATCGGAGATCTGACCCAAAAAGGTGCTCAGTCGGGCCATACAAATCTGCTCACCCCTGGCCAGCAAGGCTGCATTGGCGGCTCTCAACTTTTCCTTGGGTGGCGGGTTATCCAACTTGAATTTGACCGTGAGATCAGTGCCACATGACTCAAGCTCCTTTGGTACAGAGTCCTTAACCTGAGCGGCAAGGACGCGGATGGGCAAGCCAAGTAGCTCGCTGGGAATCCGGGTCAGCTCGCTGGTAACAGAAATCCGCCCTTCATCCATTTCGTAAACCAAGAAAGTGGGCGGGGGCCCTACAATACGGTCCAGAAGGAAGGCACGACGAAAGCCATCACTGGTGCGAGCGGCCACAAAGATGGTGCATTTCTCCTCGGGAAAGGGTCCCGTGAACGGTTGCCCCGGCTTTCCCGCCAAACTGGCATTCAAGTCATTGTTTATGTGATCCATCACGTTTATCTGGAGGAGAGCCAACCGCGACTCGTTGGCCGTTGGGTTCTGCCCAAACACGCGGATTACCTTAACCTCCGGATTCAGCTGCAGCATTTCCATGGGCAGACTAAGTGGTATGGTCATCTTGGGCTTGAGGTGGACATGATAAACGCCATCGTGGTTTCGCGTTCCCAACAAACGGAGCGTGAGGTTCTTATTAACCTGAACTCCAGTGTTGGTGGGCAATTTCGCACGGAAAGCGAAAGCCTTGTACTCGGCAATCTTGGGGACAACGTCATAGATATCCCGAAAAGGAGTGACCACGACAGCTCCATAGTCAATCAGACGAATGTCAGCCTCTTCCTTTTGAGCCCTGACAGTCAGGACCTGACCGCGGTGGATCTTGCCGTCCACATTGATGGCCACCAACGTATCCTCCTTGACGTTTTGCGAACGAATCAGCTTCTGGTTATGCATGCAGCGCTTCATGTTATCCGTCAGACGCTCCATGCTCTCCACATTGGCCACATGCATCACCCAGATGGGACCTTCCTTCTCCATGAACGTCACACGGCACTCGAAGAACTCCTCGCCCTTTGGCAATAAGTGTTCGCGCCAATTCTCAGAGAGTTTCGAGACGACTGTAGTCGATTCCACAGTGGTTGTTGGTGTTGACGTTGTACTTTCGATCATAACTTGAGTCTTTGGCGGGGTTTCACCCAGCGAAAGTTGAGTTGCAGCCATCTCTACGGTCTTGGCAGAGATAGGTTTTGACGGCTGCTGAATTGGCCTGTAGGCCACCAAAGGACTGGAATATTATTTATTTGTAATATTACCAAGAAAAACATAGGATGTAAGCCTAAGTCTAACTGCCCTCACAAAAGTTTAAAAAAAAAAAGTTAACACCTACGGTAAAGATGTAAAAGATGTATGACTATTTTACGCATTTACTCACGGCATGATGATGCAGAAGTACTTGTGCCTCTGCCAATCCAGCCGCTGGCATGCGTCCTGGCAATAGGATTCTCCGCACCGCTGGCACATAAGCCCGGCCGAATTTCCACAAACGACGCACACCGTCTGCATTTCGTCCGAATTAGTCGTTCCACGAATTCCCATTCACAAGATTCCAGAAACCGTCGAGAAGATAACTCCAAAGACGCCACGCGGCAATAATTTAATGAAAGAACAGCGAAATGAAAGGAATGACACAGAAAATGGCGGGCTAACGGAACTTTTTTATAAGAAATTGCGTAGTCTGTAAAAGAACACCGAAATAAACCCTTAACAAGCAGCTTAAACGTTTTTGAACTCTCAGTAAACGTTTACTTTGATCGAAGTGTATTATAAAAACGAAACAGCGTTACACTTAATTAATTTACTTAAATTTTAAGCTCACACACAACGCGCTTCTTAATACGAAGAGAACAAGAAAGAGGAGACACAAGTCAGCTTTTGTCAGTGAGACCGGTCATTTATCGGAAATCGATAGTTAGTTTTGTTGTCCAACACTAGTAACAAATAAGTTTGTAGCCAGATTTATTTAATGTTAAATTCCCTTACACTTTGGCTGCTTAATTTGGTAATCTTTAAAATCGTATATTAATCATTTTGTCTAAATTTTATTGGTTAATGTTCATTTAATTATAATTTTCATTGTATAGATAGCTTTACTCTTAGTTAAATAAAATTAGTTTGTTATACAAAGTTATGGTAAATTTTACGCTTTTTTGTGTTTGTATTATAAATAAATTCTTATATTTTTCTCAAATACGCTATATATAATATAAGCTATTTTCCCTAGTTTTACCTGTTTACCTAGCTAGTTTTCCGTAGCGAGAGCTGGCCACACTCTTGTTGTACGTTTTTGTTATCGATAATTCCCGCCTCTTCTGGGCATTGAGTGTGTTTCGCGAAATATTTGTTTACCAACTTAATTTTTTGGAAATAAGATCTTTCAGAGGATTGGCAACCAATATGAGCACCAGCAACAAAGGCGGTTACAAGACGCCGCGGAAGCAAAACCTGAAATCCATTGAAAACCTTACAAATTCGGAGGAGGACTCCGAAGATCTGGACACGGCGATGGTTGAGGATGCCGGGGAATCGGATTCGAAAGGCACCAGGCGCCGTTCCGCCCGACGTCCAAGTCCCACCAAGAAGTACCAGGCCTACAAAAATGAAAATAATGGAAAAACGCTGGATGATGCAGTGATGTCGGATGAAATGAGCAGTGAGCCGGAGAATCAGGATGAAGAAGAGGCTACAGAGGAGCTGGAGAATGCAGCCCGTCCAACTTCCAAGGACCTACACCTCATCCAATCCGAGTACAATGTGGCCGGCACCAGCATGTTTGGCTTCAACACGCCAAAAAAACGCGATGCCATGGCCGTGGCCGCACTAAATGCCACGCCCCGGACCCCCAAGACCCCAAAAACGCCCCGACTGGGGGTCAAAACTCCGGACACCAAGCGCAAGAAGTCCACGGATCAGCCAAAGACACCCGCCCATGTTCGCACCCGTGTGAAGAATCGTATGTAGTAGTCGTTCACTTACAATACTTGGTAGATCTACAGTTTTTCTTCTTTTTTTTTTTCAGAGATTGCCAAAATAGTTGCGGATTCGGATGAGGATTTCTCCGGTGACGAAAGCGACTTCCAACCCAGTGATGAAGATTCGTCCTCCAGCAGCAGTAGCAGCGATGGCGCGGATTCCTCGGAAAACGATGCGGCTGATGATGAGCCAAAGACGCCCTGCAAAGCCCGTCGTGCCATTGTGGTGCCCGTTCTGCCCAAAACTCCATCGGCAGCTCGTCTCCGACAATCGGCAAGGGCTAAGAAGTCGAATGAGTTTGTGCCCGAGAGCGAAAGCTATTTCCACTCGCATGCCAGCAGTAAGATCCTCACCTCGGATCATACATTGGATCGTTTAAAGAATCCCCGGCTGGCCGCCGATCGTGTGTTTAGCTTGCTGTCTGAAATTAAGCTATCCACCGAGCATGAGACGTCCATTAATGCCATCATGGAGGAGTACCGTTCGTACTTTCCCAAGTGGATGTGCATATTGAACGAGGGCTTCAATATACTTCTGTATGGATTGGGATCCAAGCGGCAGTTGCTACAGTCATTCCATCGCGAGGTTTTGGAGAAACAAACAGTGCTGGTGGTGAATGGCTTCTTTCCTAGTCTGACGCTCAAGGATGTGCTGGACAGCATCACAAGCGAGATCTTGGACGCAGGCGTTAGTCCGGCCAATCCGCACGAAGCGGTGGACATGATCGAGGAGGAGTTCGCCCTGATACCTGAGACGCATTTGTTTCTAATTGTCCACAATCTGGATGGAGCGATGTTGCGTAATGTGAAGGCCCAGGCGATTTTATCGCGACTGGCGCGAGTGCCAAACATTCACTTGCTGGCCTCTATCGATCATATTAACACCCCATTGCGTGAGTATTCATATGGCTTGTCAGCAATTCTTTAATGAGTTTGTGAACCAATTTATGCAAACAGCCTATCATTTACTTTTCTCATTTTGCAGTTTGGGACCAGGGAAAGCTGAGCAGCTTCAATTTCTCGTGGTGGGACTGCACCACCATGCTGCCGTATACGAACGAAACTGCCTTCGAAAACTCTCTGCTGGTGCAGAATTCTGGAGAACTGGCCCTTTCCTCGATGCGCAGTGTGTTCTCCTCGCTGACGACCAACTCGCGCGGCATCTACATGCTGATTGTCAAGTACCAACTGAAGAACAAGGGCAATGCCACATACCAAGGCATGCCATTTAGGGATCTCTACTCAAGTTGTCGCGAGGCCTTCTTAGTCAGTTCAGATCTCGCTCTGCGCGCCCAACTTACAGAGTTTCTCGATCACAAGCTGGTCAAGTCAAAGCGAAGCGTTGATGGCTCCGAACAGCTAACCATTCCCATTGATGGCGGACTGCTGCAGCAGTTCCTCGAGGAGCAGGAGAAGAAATAAACCGTCGATGTAATTTTAGAACATATTAATTTATTATCTAATATTGTTAAATACAATTACAATTTCGCTTTTTAAAAATGTCGTGATGCTGTCACTTGTATTGCCCATTAGTGCAGAATGTTCTTTGTTTGTCAATTTCTACACATTTAGATTGGCATGCATAAAAGTTGTCGGTTTACTAGAAACACGTTTTAGATGGCTAGTTTTGTCTTCCCCCAAACACTGATTTCCTTCTAATTGCGAGCAGAGCAACACAAAACTTAACACTCCAAGTGCTTCCCACCTTTGGGGATGACCGCAATTATATAAGATTAGGATTAGATGAGGCGAAATAAATATATAGCTAAGCATGCCAAAAGAATATAAAGAACTTCCTACCGGTCACCCCGCACTTCCATTTATTCCAAAGGCTAATATCGGTAACCTACTACTATACAGACACGCACATACATACACAGATTAAAGCATTGGACTTGTAACTAGTTAATTGTGCATTCGAAACAAAATGAAATTGCTGCGACTAAGGCTAGTTTATTTACACTTTCTGATAGATAGCAAATCACATGCAATGTCAATCGGAAGTACGCATACAATGGAAATCGTTCATAGTTGTATCTATCATTATTAATTTACGTTATTGCAAAAATTCTACCCTTTCCTGAATACCTGAATTGTACACACCAAGTTTACGATCTGCATTTTAGCATACAAAAATGTCATCTCTGCGCCGCTTTTCGCTTTTCGTTTGTTTAATAGTTAGATAAATTGTTATCACGTTTACTTTATTCGTACTTTTAACCTTCGTTTGCGGAGAAAGTCGAAATGTTCTGAATCAAACAGAAGAGAAACCACCCAAGAGAATCTCCCCTTTACAAAATGAATGCATTAGTGGTTTTTGTTTTTTGTTTTTTTTTTCAGTTTTTATCTGCTTACTATACACAAATTGCTACTGTTTGCTTTTATTTCGACAATGTTTTGCTTGTGTTTATAGTTTTGTACAACGAATTAATTACATTTTGCGCTTAAACAAAGAGAAACAAGTTTACTGATTTTAAATACTTAAGAAACGAAAAGAGAAACAAAAAATTAAAAGTAAAAAGGTGAATTCAGAGACGAATGTTGAAAAACAGAACTTGGGGACAATGGGAGCTCCCGCTGGTAAACAATTAATTTATACATTCTCCTCAACTTGAAGGGGGAGGGCGTGGATTTTGGTGGGTGGGTGCAATTAAACCTTGAAAGCTTTGAAAAGTGTTCCGAGTTTACATATAGACAATATATAAATCAACTTCATTATCATATCCGTATCATTACTCATTTACTCGTTACTCATTAGTCACATACTCATCGAATATACATCACAATCAAAGTGTACGCTTTGTAATTATACGCAGTAATCGGTAATCATAATCGTTATAATTATAATAATAATAATAGTTACGCATTCTCAGTGAATTTCTTTATTTTTTGTTGTATTTATGCCTTGGATTTTTTACTTTTTACTTTACTTTAAATTTAATTTATTTAATTTTAATTTTCCGTTTTTGTTTTTTATGCTCTTTTTTTGTTTGCATTATTGTTTGTTTTTTTTTCTTTAATTGCTGCTTTTGTTTTCAAGTTACTTTTGGACTTAAGATTAAAATTAATTCATAATTATTACTCGTAAACATATTAATCATAGGTAATATTAAATCAACAAATAAAATACATTTAAAATCAAGTTTTATCAAACTGAATTAAATTACTCGAAATCGAAACAATAAACGGTACTGCTTGCTTTGCTTTTGCTTTTGCTTCTGCATTTGCATTTGCATTATCTTTCTGCTGTTGATATAATTTTTTGTGTTTGTAGTATTGCCATATGCTTTTTTGAGGTTGGCCACTAATCGATCCATCAAATATTTCACATGCATGCTGCTTAAGTTAAAGTTCTCATTGTAATTGCAATTGTTTAATCGATTGTTGGTTTTGTTGTTGGTATTGGGTTGTTGCTTGTTGATTGTTGTTGGTGTACGATTTGCTGTTGCTGTTGTTGTTGGTGTGGTTGTTGTATTGTTGTTTCAGCTCATTTTCACGCGTTTCCTTGGTGGTCCAATTGGTGGGATTTGTTGTGTTGCGAGCGCACGAAATGCCTCCGCTATCAAATGTGAATGTGTTGTGATCATATTTTGCCACCCGGAAGTTTCCATCACATCGGTGGCATGACTGTAAAAATAGTTTAATCCGTTGGTTAGTTTAACTGGCTCGCAAAGATTTAACAAAGACTTGAAAGACTTACGTATTTATGAAATCTATCGTTTGTGCTTTCAATTGATCCGCACTATGGAGATCAGCTAATATTAGTGTTTCGGCTGCTGTTTCTACAGAGAGATTGACGCACAGCGCCTCCTCGCACATCACTTTCAGCTTTTCGAGTGCATACTGTTAGAGTAGATGCAATTAT